TTGCATGCAGGTTGGAGGCCATTGCTAATGAGTTGGAGGCCATTGCTCCAGGTTGGAGGCCATTGCCATGAGGTTGGAGCTCTCTCTCCAACTCGAGCGCTCACTGGGAGCCCCAGACTCTCATCCGATTCCACCAGCGATCTGGGACGGTGGCTTCTGCCAGCGATGCTTCCTGTCTCGGCTCCGAACACGCTAACAGAAAGCAACGACGTTTGAGACATTGGGCTGTGTGGGGTTGTACTTTGCTTCGTAGCTGTGGAGTAAAAACCACGGTTTCCTGTAGAATTTCCCTTATATGAGTCAATTCTGGTATTCAGGATAGCACATGATGAATGGAGGGACAATTACCAGTCAAACTATACACTACTCACTCAATCTTAGTACCAAAAATAAATTACTGTATCCCGGCAAGAGACCCCAAACAGTGTGTGTGTGTGTGTGCGAGGTCTATAAGCAGAAAGTCTAGCGATCTAGCATTGGCGTCCAGAGAGCTGATGGTGGCGATCAAGGTGGGGATTGTGGTGACGGTGGCGGTGGTGGTGGGTGAGTGAGTGTGAGTGAGAGTGAGAGTGAGTGTGGGTGAGAGTGAGTGTGGGTGAGAGTGAGAGTGTGAGGGAGTGTGAGTGTGAGCGGGAGTGGGAGAGTGAGAGTGTGATCAACTTTTCCCAACTCACCAACTCTGCTGCCAGCCTATCAATACCTATCCCAGCTTGGGGATTTTGTGATCTTCATCAAATCTGCCCGCTGGCGGCCAATGGTGACTGGATTGAACCTGATCTGCAAGAGTCGAAACGCCTGAAAGCCGTTGGGTCGACGAGCCTCTCCCAGTGTATAGGTGGTCACCATCGCATAAACATGTGTATCTGCATACTGCACCAGCAAGGGATCCAAGTGAGGAAAATGCAACAAAACATCACCTTGTGTCATGGGTGTCTTCTGCCGTGATGTTGCAATCCACTCCAACACTTCATAAATGCCAGGCATGTTTGAATCCCTCAATGTAATGACGCTATCAGCCCAATCCAAAAAACTGCTCTTCCCATCCATCGGATTGAACATTCCAGGCTTGCCCAACTGCTTACTGTCAACTCCACCTTGCTGTATTGCGTATGCGACAGCCTGAGGCCACCTCGATCCAGCCGCTCCCACACCCGGCAATCCTCCAGCAACCTGTGACCCGGCTGCAGACACACCGGCATCCACAGGAGGGGGGTGATGCACGGGAACCAACCACCGGCGCCTGCTGCCCCTGCGACTGTGGAGGATTCGGAACTGGAATTGCACCTGTTGCCAACTGAGCTTGTTGCTGCTGCACCTGCTGGAGTGCCTGACCCATCTGCTGCATCTGCTCCTGCATTGTGGTCAAGATCGTTCCAACCTGCGTCAACTGCTCTTGGCTTTGCTGCTGCTCATGATGAAAACCAGCCTGCACCTGCGTGACCACTTCAGTCACAACTTGCTCTGTAACAGCCTGTGTCGCCTGAACCGCTGTCCCAGTACCCTGCACTGCTTGGCTCAACGATTCAATTTGTGCTCTCTGCTGCTGTTGTTCATGAAGCATCTGTTGCAAAGCTGTGGTCAACGCTCCAAGATCTGCCTGCGCTCCATCAGTCGCCATGACTGAATGATCAAAGTCAACAACAAGCGCCACAAACAAGATCAATGCAGCCAATGTCTGAAGCCCGATCCACCGCCAATGCAACCAACGTGTCTCTCCCAGCGCTCACGCTCCAAGGGTCGCGGACTAGGAACTCTCCGCGCCCTCATGCCATCGCTGCTGATTGTTCAAGCGGCCCAGCTCCGCTACCATGCGAAACCCTATGCGGCTTTCTTTCTCGGCTGCGGTCGGTACAGTGATCATAGCCATAAGGCCTTGACCTCAACTCTTGACAGTTTGAGGAAATACTATATATACCTGCACCGCGCTGTAGGCACAACTTCACATTCGTGCCTCCAACGGTGTGCAGTGCCGTCAGAGCTGTAGCCTCAGTCAATCACAACAAGCGAAATTGCACAAATGTGTTCGCTTCTTGTTGGTTCGACTTAGCACAATCAAACCAGTACTCAAAGCTGTCTTAGCCCTGTGCTGTGGTGGCTGTGATGCCAGTGTAGGCTGTGTAGCCCGTCCTTAGAGCCGAGAAACAAGAAGCATGCCCCAATCGTAATGCCAACTACCCCCGCTCAATGATGCTCAATTTGTACCACAAATTGAACAAATGCATGGTGTTGTCTTGCCGACGAAAAACTGACCGCTCATCCCACTTTCAGAGGCAGCGCTACTAGCTCGCATCTTCCGCTTCCTGGAGGGTGGATCTCGTGCCATGGTTGCTTTTTCTCTAGTTTGCTGTTGATGCTATTGGTATGTTTGCCGGCTTTCTTTGAAGCAAACAGTAACACCAAACAACAATACTTCCAACTCCTCTTCTCTTTGCCATGCGCGGCCTGCAAACGTGATGCAAGACTGAGGGAAGCCAATGGAAAAACAACATGTGGACATTGGACATCAATTCTATAGCCTCTTGAACCTCTTGATTCCGAAAGAAACAAAAAAAGACTACAGTAAATGGTGGTGACTTACATGCATGCTTTCAGAGTCTTCCGAGCTTGCCTGGGCCAAGAAGATCTTCTCAACCCAGGCACGGACATCAGGCCGCGTCCGTGGACCACAAACCTGAAGCGAAATCTGAATGAAAATTCGGAATATCACTTGGCTCAGGACATGTCTGGTGTCGCCCGGCTGCCTGGCCTGATTTAAGAAAATCATCCGCTCCTTCTCTAGCTCCAATGGATCCCTAGGCAAAAGTAGCTATCTGCTTCCGAAGACAGCCCACCGGAAGACCCTGCCTTGCTGGAGGAGGGTTGGACCTTAGAAGGAATGCTTCGTTGTCCGCTCTCCCAAAGCGATTCCCTCGAGCATGGACTTTGCTTTGGGAGCTAGGTGCAAAGGCTCATGAATCACCACAGCGGGTCCTTCCTTCGACCGAAGAGAAGCTTTGGAGTGCTTGAGGCTGCCAGTGTCGCTGTGTCGAACCTTTGCAACCAGCTTTGTGTCGCTATAGATGTAGGATCACACAAAGAAACCCCAGTTTGAGAGCTAAGGTTTTTGACTAAAGGATCCAAGGCACAGCAGGCCCTGGTGCCCCTGGACCCGGAGGAGATACAACCTGTCAAGCAGCACACTGCCTGAATGTCATTGCACCAAGTTGAACCAAGGCCAACAGTGCCAACAGCACCGCTTCCTTGGGAGCACACATACAATATCATACAACCCAAGAACTGCTTTCTCGCTTCCACCTCATCCTCATCCAAGTCTTCCAAGCCACCCTTGTTGATCAAATAATCCTTCCTTGCGAAGGCCATGGTGGCCACGGCAAAAGCAAATGAAAACTCGATAAGTTGATAAGAAAAAAACACCCCATAGCCACACCGGCCCCGACTCTAAAGCTTCGACAAGAACTGTTGCGTGGCTTGCTCATCAGGGTACAGCTGGGTCCTGCATTGCTGAATCTCTCCACCAAAAAAAGGCTCGTCGCGCGAGGCAGTCTCTTCCTGCTTTGCTTCCTGTGCCCGGGCGGCCCATGGCCTCAAGAACTCAATGGTGGCACAAGTCTCTCTGCAAGCGTCGGGTTGAGGCCTGCCATCAAGAAGCCAGCCTCACCAGCCTCCCATACATCTCCACTCAGAAAAGCAACTTCAAGGCACTATAAGGCGGACGAAAGCCGTCACTGTATTCCCCCAGCCTAGCCGCACATCATCGCCCATCTTCACTACACATGGAGACCTACGAAAAGAGCTTGAGCAAGAAGCCGACCAAGTACTTTGCTGCAGCAAAAAAGAGAACCTGCACAAGCTTATTAATGCATTTCGAAGCTCCCTCCCCAGGGCTCATGACCTTTTTGGTCAACGTGGCAAGCTTTGAGAGCAAAAAAAGAACAACGTCAAATTTCCAGTTAGCACTTGCCCTTTAAAGGAAAAAAGCTGACGGACCTTCCGATTCCATTTTCAGCTTTGGAATTTTGACGCTAAACCTGATCTAAGCTGTGGCATGTTAGCCGCTGTTAGCCTATCTGATATCTGCCCCTTGCTGAAGCCAATGCACCTTTGGCACTGCTCTCTTGCCAATAAGCAGGGTGAAACCTCCGACGCTCTCGGTGAAGACTCCAAAGACCAAACTGTTTATCCATCATGAACACCGACTCCTGCTCACTTGCCCTTGCTGATTCAACAGACGTTACCAGCATCGGATATTCCAGTCTTGTGAAATTCTCCGTATCTGGCATTGTCTAGCTTGCATACTCTGGGCTACGCTTGCCTTTCTTCCCCTCATGGGAGCGTCTCTTCAGCACCTAAGGACAAAAGTCACCCAAAGGTGTTCTCCCTCAACAGCCAGAGAAAATGGCTCACAGGTGCCAAAGCAGCACGAAAGCACAAGGCAACCCTGGTCTCGGGTCTTTGCATCTTTCTCTTGTAGCACAGCTTTTGACGCCTTGCCGGTTTTCACCTTAAGAGGTTGATTTGAACCAAGCTGGACAAGAATGGATGATCACGGCCTCCGCCAGCTCTCCCGGATGAAGGCCAAACTCTTTCTCTTCCTGCGCATGTCTTTTGACAGAACATGACAGAGTGTTCATTCAGAATCTTGAGGTCTTCCTTCAATCAGGACGCGTTTTGTTCCCAAGCCCACGCACTGGGGGAGTGGCCAATTCCATGAAGGCAGGTCCCTCTCGTGAGTCCATGATGATGGCATGTCCATCCTGAAGAAATGGCCGGCAGACTTGGTGGCAAGTCCCCATGGTTTCCAGACTCAGTCATCCACAAACCTTCTATAGGCTTTCTTTGTTTTCCCCGACAGGGTCTTCAACGTGATTACCCCTAGCCACCCGCCAAGTAGACATTTTCTCTCAGTTGGTCGTCAGGTCGCTTTCCTGTTGCGTGCCTCTATTGGGCCGGACCCAGGAAAGCAAATTGGATGCCTGTGCCAGGCTCTGCAATCAGCATATCTGGTGGATGTATCCCACCACCCAAGGGTGGGTAGGGTGGGCGCTGATTGCTTGAGCCAAAATGGCACGCAAGCACCACTTCCACACTATGACCTTGTCACTTCGACATTACATGTCATTTCTCTACAAACACATCAACGTGATTACCCCTAGCCACCCGCCAAGTAGACATTTTCTCTCAGTTGGTCGTCAGGTCGCTTTCCTGTTGCGTGCCTCTATTGGGCCGGACCCAGGAAAGCAAATTGGATGCCACTTGACCTGACGCCAACGACTAGCGAATTAGTCTTCCCCACCTGCGCTTTCAGCGCGCTGGTCGTCGGTGGAAGATGGTGTGTCCACTCGGGTGGCGTGGGTTTTGGGAAAACATTTACTGCAACGATCGTGCAGGGGCATTCCGTCAACGGACTCATGCACCTTAAAGTCAGCTTGGTTCTTCCCAAACGGCCATCCGCAACGGGCGCGCCATTGTTTGGGGGGAAGATCGAGCTTGTAAATTAAAGTTGCATGAAACTTCCCGTCGCGCGCGGTGTTCTGAATGATCACCCCGGGACGGTTGTCATGCTCAGGGATTTGTGGTATCCCGGCGGCGCAATCATGAAGCATATCTGGCTCCGGGTGCATGAATTGGCTCTTACAGGACGCTATGCGTTGCTGTAAAAGTTGGAGCTGTTCTTGAGCTCTTTGAACGGACATGGAGGCCGTGGATTCAAGGGCCAACTTGTCCAATTGCTTCAGGGGCGCATCCTGAATGTAGTGGATGAACACGTCAGAGCCCCAGCGCCCGAACAGTTGGATGCGCCATAGTTCGATGTTGCGCTCGGCCATGAAACGTGCGCCCGTAACCCGTGCAGAGTGCCCCGTAAACATACGGGCACCGTTGCTGTGAGTCACGGGTAAGCCGAGGTGCATGGCAAGCTGTTCGAAGGTATCGGCCCACCCTTCCTTGGACGCCGGGATCGAGTCGTCCTCTGCGGGGAAGATGGGTTGATCCGGTGCTTCCGGCAGGTTGGCCAGGTGCCCAATCATGACATGGAAAGGGCAAAGGTTGGGTGAGTGCAGCGCACGCGAACAGGTGTGTTTTTTGTGCTCCCAAAGCTGCCTGGTCTGTCTTCGAGCTGGGAAGTCGCCAGGTGACTCTGCAGTCCGCCACGTTCACGGTGACGTGCTTCCTGCGTGCTCTTGAAGCTTCGATCTCTCGAAGGAGCCACCATGAGGCGAGGACGGTGGCAGCCACGGGTTGGCGTGGACCTCCTTTCACAAGCTGGCCCAACTGTGGTAGGGCTGCTACTTGCTCGAGTGGGAGCCCGGAGGCACCAGGGAGGCACCAGGGAGGCAGGAAAGGACCTATTGGACAGACTGGGAGGCACCAGGGAGCTCCTGCTTGCTTCGAATTGCCAATGCCCCGGTTGCAGCTTCTCACAGCTGGAGGCCCTGTGCGATGTGGCAATTCTTGGCTGCGTCCAGGTCCAACTTTCAAAGCCCCCATGACCGTGTAAATCATGGACGGGTGGGTCCAAGTGGAACGGATCGCTCCATCCTGCCGTGTTGGCTAAGGATGCCCACAGTTTCTGTCTGGACGCTAGCGGTCCTTTTGACGTGTCTGCGGAAGCCTCCTCTGCCAGCTGCGGGTCTTGCGCCGCTTTCAAGGCCGCTTCTGCCGAGCCTCGACCATATGGTTTCGGCTCACCCGGCCCAGGGTCGCGGTGTACTGCCCTCCAAGGAAGGACCCGCCCCGGAGGGGAGTCTCCTTGTGGCAACTGCACCGAGCCTGAAGGCGGGGTTAAAGCGAAGCCTTCGTGCAACGGACCAACTTTGGGTCTGGGAGCCCGGTCAAGTGTAGGGTGGCGCCCCGGAAGCGATCGCTTGAACGGCATTCTGCGGCGCCGATCACGCAAAGCGTAAGACCCTAACCCGTCCGGTTGGTTGGCAGGGCAGGACTTCCCCCCCCCTGTGTCAGTGCAGGGCGTATTCTCCGGGTGTGGACCAGCTTTCCGGAATGCTGAGCTTTGCCCGCTCCGTCATTCGCTGACGTACCACCCCCTAGTACCGCCCACAATGCGGATAGGAAAGGTCGCAGGTGGGGCACGAGCCCTGCTACGAAGGATAGGGCGCCTGCATAGGAGCGGAGCTGGCGCTTCCCTATCACTGGCTTCCTTAAAATTTGCTGCGCGCTGTCTTGGATCTTTGAGATCTTTGCAGCAGGAATAGTGACACGAACGCTCTTCTCGGCGTCGTCCAGTTCCAGCTTTGCGCCGACCCATCCTATGGACTTGCCCCCTTCAGCTTTGGACAGCTTGACTGGGAAGCCCACGATTGCGAACCACATCAACAGGATGGTGAGGTCTCTGCTGGCTTCATCCATGGTTCCCGACAGCACGAAGGCCGGATCGTCCACATAGATCTGTACCCCAGCCCTCGGCATTACCGCTGCTGCTGACCGTCCCAACCATGCGGCGTAGCGTCCCCAGAGCGTGGGTGAACTGCTTGCTCCGAAGACCAGCGTGTCGAAGATCACCATTTGCATCTGGTGTGGTCGACTTGGATGTGGTCGGGCCGCCACAGTAAAGCGCTTGTCCGCGCCGGCTGGGATGTTCATGAAGGCATCCTTCACGTCGACGGCCGCCAGCCATGGGGTGTTGCCCAACCGGTATTGCCTCACTGCTTGTTGCGCCAATTCCAGTAGCCTGGGCAAGAGGATGCGCTCGCCCTGACAACATTGCGCGTTGGCCCGGGACTCCCTGAGGTCCCATATCAACCGGCACTTCTTGACTCCCTGGTCACTGACCTTCACTATGAGCCCCAGCTTGTTTAGGACCGGCGGTTGTCCCAGTTCCGCCGTGGCCTCCTCCATCGACTCTGCCGTGTGGCAGAAGCCTCGGTTCACATAGTCAGCTATCAGGGTGTTGACCTCCTCGGTTTCCTGTTCTCTCTACTCGTGGGAAGATGCCCACGCTGGGGATGTTCTATAACCGAGTGGAGCCCCGTGGTCGAGCCACTCACACAGGTGATGTGTGTCTGGGTCACCCGTGTGTTCCCCCCAGGCCTGTATGACGTTCGCCTGAATGGGTGCGTTGGCTCTGGCTGTCCTTCTCCTCGGGCACGTAGAACCACCCAATGCTGCCACGACCAACTCTCGTGACCCGGTGATGACCTCTGCGGGGATAGGGCTGGCCTCTCGACCCGTGAGTATGTCACGACCGATGGTCACGAGATCAGGATGTGACTGCAGGGTCTGCTCCAGGATCCGTAGTACCAGGGCCCCAAGTCTCAGCCAGCTTTGGGATGTGCCCGATTGCGACGTGTGGGTTCCTCATACCTCCAATTGCCAACATGTTTTGCCTTTCCCTGGCGGTTGGCTCGCGCAGGGAAGTAGCGTCTGTCACAACTGGGAGGTTTCAGAGCGGCTCCCTTTGGAGCTCTTCTTTCTTCCAGTCTGTCCTGGCCGTCTTGTGGATTGCCACTGCCAATACTTTGCTGAACAAAGTGGTGTATTCTCCCTGTGCTTTGGAGGCCCACTGTGTTTTGCCGTCCACGTTTTCGGTTCTTTGCACCGTGGACATGCGCGCTGCTTGTATCTTGGCGCCGTCTGGTCTTGCGAAGGTGCGCTTTGGGTGGAAGCATCTCTTGCCCTGCAGCCTGGTGATATCGAGCCTGTGGGTCCAGTTTGGGATGTCCTTGATCCTCGGCATGAGCCATAAGGAAGGTTTGCCCTGCGGATGGTCTGGGTTCTCCAGTCCCCAGGGTTTCTTCTGCTGATGCATGCGGTCTGCCACCTTGTAGGATCTGTGGACCAGTATGTTGGCATCCCTCAACTGGGCGGCTTCGGCCTTAGTGGTGTTGGCGACTCCGGTGATGTGCTCGACCGTCCTGAGTACACGAGGTCCGGGTGGTTTCTCTCTCAGCGGGGAGAAAGTGCCACAGGGTGTGGCTATCCAGGCGGCCTCAAACATACCTTTGTCGATGTCGTCCTTGAGGAGGTCCCAGACCTTGTCATCGAGCAGGTTGGTCGGCCTTGGCGTCACCGTGTCGAGGCAGCAAACTAACCAGCCAAGGCGGGCGAGCTGATGAGCCAGGTCACCCTCTCGGGATCTTCCACATAAGACGATGAGAGCCCTTGGCTTGGTGGACGTCTGCCCAACGGTGCTAACCAGCTCCCGTACTTGGTCGGGGGTTCCTTGAGCTCCACCACTGGTTTCAGCCCGGACCCAACGCTCCCCCTTGCGCGCGGAACGGTCGGAGTGGTGCGTGGGTCTGGATGCTGACGTTCTGCTGCCTGGCCGGGCGTTTGCTTGGAGTCTTTTGGGCTGCGCACGTCTTCGCCCTTCTTCTGTTCGGGCTCAGTGCTCTTCCATCCTGCCTCTGCCGTTTGCCGTTGCTTCTTCGTCGGAGGTTGCTCCGGCGATTTGGGCGCAGCTCTTTTACTTCCCATGTTCGGTGGGTCTTGATCAGCTGTTGAGGACCGGGCATGCCCACCAGTGCCCGACCCTTGCGGTTTTCAGGCAGCTTTGGATCCGCCAGGGCAGGCGCTGCCCTGATGCGGCCCCAGGCACCGATTGCATTGATGGCTCCTCTTGGCTTTGCATTTCCCTTGAGCCTGCTTGGTGCCACATTTGCCTTGGTTGTACAGGCGGCAGATCTCCACTCCTCTGCGGTTGTGGGTGTACAGCCCGGACTGATCCTGCTTGGAGCGGTTGTCGCCCTTGTAGGAACCCGCGGATGTGCTCAGCGTAGGCATCCAACCTTTCAGCCTCCGAGGCCTCTAGCAGCAGCATCGCTGTCCTGTAACAGCGCCAGGCCTTGTACCAGTCGTAGAACGATGCAGGCCCTGGTTGCTCCTTTCGTCCCCATTCGCCCGTGGACACATTGAGGGTGTAGCTCTGGAAGGTCTGCCGTCGTAGGAGCCTTTGGCCATGTGGGCCAAAGATGCTAAAGTCCGCAAAGGGTACGGAACCCGATGCAATGACTTGGCTCAAAGCCGCCAGCTGATCCCTACTGACGTCGGCGTCAGTCGAAGGGAAGTCGCCGAAGCGGTTCTTGTATCGGTCATACATGGCTGTGACCTCCGCGTCCGCCAGGGCTTGGATCTCGGCATCCAGGGTTGGATCCAACACAGCACTGAGCTTAAGCTTGCGTGCTTGTGGCGCTGGTACTCCAGGGGCTGCTGCAGCGCCGCCTCCTCCTGCCGGAGGAAAGGGTGCCGGCATTCCGGCTGGAGCTGCCGGTCTTCCTGTATCACCTCGGTGGTCCGCCAGTCTTCCCGACCGAATGCAGCAGACTCGTCGAAGTGACTCCACCCGGGCATTCTCCACCGGCGTAAGTGGCCGTGGTGCAGGAGCGGGATCGCCGCCTTCTTGGATCTCCAGGTTGTCGACTGCATCATCCCAGATCGGCCGTGGGATAAGTGCGATCTCCCGGACACGGGCTGGGTCCCCAAGTGCGGCATTGAGGGTCCTTGCCAACACGCCATCCACACCAGACCATGCCTGTGCATCATCCAGATTGTTGATGCCCCTGAGCTCGTCCTCCGTGGGGTCGACCATTTGATAGTGCAGGGCCCTCGTGCAACACAGGCGTGGGTGTAGATGCCCTTCTGCGTAACCTCCGAGCCGTAGTGGGTCGTGACCCGGTGTTGTTCCTCAGGCTGTAGTCCCTGAGACTATGGAAGGCCACTCCCAGCCGCCTCCTGCGGGCGATGAAGCGTAGGGCCTTCGCCGTCAAGCGCTCCCAAGCCAGCACAGCCTCCTGGTCTCCGCTAACCGTACGTGGTGTGGCCCGGAGGCAACAGCACCAGCACAAGAAAGCGCCGACCAGTCCGGCAGCGACCCAGGTCACCAGCAGGAACACCAGGAAGGACGATGCACTGCCGTCTCCTGTGTTCCTGCCGGCTTCCCAGATCACCACCTCCGCTGAGCCCATGCCCCGCTTGTGGTGCGCTGATTGCTTGAGCCAAAATGGCACGCAAGCACCACTTCCACACTATGACCTTGTCACTTCGACATTACATGTCATTTCTCTACAAACACACTGCTGTGCCCGTTGCACTCTCCTGAGCATCAGCCAAGTAATCCTCTGGAGCTGTTTGCGCCTTCCCACAGCTCCTGCCATCTGCTGCAATGTCTCACAGAACCTACTCTCCCCCAGTCCTAGAATCCATTTGACTCCGATGTCGTACACCCCATCGCATTCCACTTCAATCACTGTCTACGATTCTCCAAGATTCTGGCAAGGTGGCAGCAAGAGATGGGCCACAGCGCTCGCCCATGGGGCCCAAGTCCTACAGCACCGGACTCTGCTGCCAAAATGAACTCCAAATTGCGATGTTCGAGACAAATCGTACCCAAATCCAAGCTCCTTGGTCCATTTGTTGATCTTGTCATCTTCGAGAGCCTTCGTGCTGCCAAGGCAGCAAAACTATTTGAAGCCAAAGTCAGCAAAGCTGAGATCCCAAACACCCACATCTGCTAGCTGCATTGGAACACGGGAGGTTGAGCGTCCTCGCTGCGTCAGGGTCCGTAATGGTGCGAGGACATATCAAAATCAAGCAAACAGGAAGCTTGAGCACCAGAGCGACAGACAGAGGAAGTGGGGAAGCACGGAAGAGTAGGAAACAAGGAATGGAGGAGGAGGAGGAGGAGGAAGCCACATGTAGCATCTGCGTAGAGGAACGTATAGAACATACTCTCCCACTCACATGGAAGTCTATTTTCCACATCCAGGTTAGTGAGTGAGAGTGTATCTATATACTGTTTCTCTGACAAGACAGTCTATATAACAGTCCGACAGATCGGCAAAAATGGTGGTTTCTGAGAGACTCGGAGAGAGACTCGGAGAGAGGGGAGAGAAACAAACAAAAAGTCACAGTCACATCAATGTAGTGAGTTTTTGTAATGCATAAGGCGTAAGAGGACAGAGAGAGAGAGAGAGAGTTGTGTTTTGTGCACTTGCTCCACGTCAAGTCAATGCGCTCAATATATAAAGTAACTGTTAAAGTCCGTCATGCGTCAACACGTGCCGTTTGGATCTGCTCCTGCAGCACAGTCAGCAAAAGGACCCATGTCAGGCCTCGAGCGACGCCCAAGCCACGAACAATGATGAAAAAAGACGCGCCGGGAGCAGACGGCATTGACCTGAGGCCTTTCTTGGACCTTTCTTGTTTCAAGAAGCTTGTGTCTGTGGCTTGTGGAAGCTTTGACAGGAAGCCATGCTTTATATAGTCCCATTCGATTTTGCAGTTTCTCAAGATTTGCGTCTTGTGTGGAAGAGTCAGGCTTCACGAGACCTGAAAGACATTTCCCCCAAGACCTGAAAGCTCTGGCCCAAGTCTGAGGTTCGGGCTTCTCAGCAACTTTTGCTGAGCAGAAGCTCGCCTGTTGACTTCACTCACGTGCGTCATCAGACATGAAGCAACTGCTGCACGTGAATCCTTCCAGGTCCACCTCCCACATGCAACTTCTGGCAAGTTGTTTTCCTTTCTAAGCACTTCCAGGCACTGCACTCGAGACATGTGGAAGTCAAAATCTATGAGGGCTTGCCTTTCCTGAGTCAGTATATGTCCCAGCGAAAAGATTCTCAGGATGTTTGAAGGTGTCAAAACCCAGTTCACTCTGACTCTTTGGCCATGAATTTGCTCTGTACAGGAATGAACTCAAGGGCCCGATTCACTTTCCAGCACCAGTTTGCCTTAGACATAGTTGCGCCACAATGCTTTGAACAAAGGAAACATCACTCTGAGAGCGGAAGAACAGAATGTTCCCATCTTAGGTTTCGGCCTTCGTACCACATCTTCAATGCGGGTCGCATCAATGCATCACCTGCAAGCTTTTTTGGAATGGAAAAGCTCAAGAATCCGGGTTGAACAAGGAAGCAAGAAATCAAGTCGGAGCTGGAGAATCAACTTGGAAGTCCAGCCAGCCTTTCCTGCTTCTACCTATCCCGCCTGGCGGGCTGGCTTCTACTTTGGCTTTTTCCTGGACAAGCAGGTGTGCGCCGCACCGGAAAGAAGGCCAAGAGTCTGCCAAACAGGCCACCCAAAACGGACGTAGAGAGCTTCATCCTAAAAGGTGATAACACTGCCTTTGGAGAAAAAATCGTTCAGAATACTTGCTTGGCAAACACCCATGGCTGTGAAACACCCACACAATGAGGCAAGCTTCAAAGGACTCTCGGTCGTCCCACACTGTGACACCTGGGAAGAAAGGGAAATCTCAAACTCAACACCACAGAACTAAAACTGATCTCATCAAAGTAGTACTGGTGGGGCAGTTTCTGAATGCACTCAATAAGCTTTGTAGAGAAGAATCAAACTATTTGCAGTCGTGTCTGCCCATGTAGTTGCAATCATCGTCTGGCGCTTGGTCTCGTCTTAGGAGCTGAGAGAAGCGAAAGCCTCCCTGGCCCTGAGAGTCACAAGAGGACGGCAAAAACGACACACACGCTGAGTCTTACGAAACGAAAGATGTGTTTTCAAAAAAAATCCCTCGAACAACGTCATATTATCTTGAACATCTTGTCAATTCCATGTATCAATGCTCCCTCGCTGGTCCTGAAACAAAATCTGTCCCATATCTTCATCTGTCTAGAATGCAACATCCAAATATCTGGACAATATCTTGGCCAAAAAGGAGAGACTTTGTGGGGGAGACTCCGACTCCGAAAATTCAGTCAAAAGTAATCGAGAAACCAAAAAGAATCAAAACAAATAAAACAAATAGCATTTTGGAGGCTCTCTGGGGGAGGTTCCTCAGATAGAACCAAAAAGAACTCCAGAAAACCATTGAAAAATAAAAACGATATTCCAGGACTCTTGCCTGAGTATCTCTATTGGTTCTGCTGTTGCTGACGAACTTGTAAATACGTTCTTCTTGCTCCTCTTCAGTAAAGTGATAATGTTGGTTCATCACTTAGTTATATGGAAGCATGCTGATAATGTGTTCATTGACAAATTCAACTAGGTTGCTATGCTTTCTTGACCTATCTATATTCAATGGTATCTTTCCGAAGTCTCAAACAAATCAATTCGATGAACATCTAACCTAAATATCACTAATACAACAGAATATGTGTAGGCCATAATGACAAATAATCCTACTCATATTGTTCAATGTCATATTGAACTCGATCTAGCTCAAAGTAGTCATGGTTGATCCAAAAATATAGAAATAGTTATGTAAATGGATAGAAATGTACAACATCTTAGTCAGATTTCTTCTGTGTGTTAAGGTTTGAGACCCTATTCAATATTCACCAACAGAAAGTATTACTTTCTTCCTGTATCACCATCAAAGCAAGTTGTACATGTCTTACAGAGAGGGAGAGAGGGAGAGAGAGAAGGGAAGGAGGGATAGAGAGACGGAAACATGTCCTCAATATAACTTTGTTTCCTAAAGTCTATACCTGGAGACTGAACAAACTTTAGATTGACAGCTTGACATTGGCTATTTACGATTATCTAAGTGCAAAATAGCAGTGTTTGTTGTGCAGCGACAGGGCGAGGAAATCTGGAAAAATAGTTGAGCATGTTCTTTTTGTAAAAAGCACTGCGAAAATGATGTTGGTTTGATCTGGCGAGAGGCAGTAAGCACGCATACAAATTATCTATACATGTATGCATATATGTACACATTGCAGCCCGCTGACACCATATGGTTAAAGGCTGACAACAAAGACTCCGTTGCCACGACCGCACCTCCAGGGATGCCCCATGTTCGGACCAAAACTTCTCAAAGTCTTGTTCCCGTTCATGAAAGACTTGGAAGCGGGTAGTCGCCACAAAGACCTCCAAAGGCTCATCATCTCTCTGCCCCATGTTGAAACACACATATGTGCACAAGAGAACACAAGGTACCTGGCCCGCAGAAATAATGGTGTTTTCGGAGTGACTCACAAAGCGAAACACATAGATAGCAAAAATGCAGAAAACTGAGCTTGTGCGCGGACGGATACCTTGCAGGAAATCGAAAATTCAATGGGAAGATTCGGGAAGACTTCGGCGGAAATTGTTGTGCCCTTTCGCGCGCAGAAATATTCTCGGCAAGACCACAAACAGGAAGGGCACACAGACACACACATGAACCACATATCGGAGGGCTTCACCAACAGGAGCAACTAGTAACTAGTGGAGAGGAAGAGTATCTCTCAATGGAAAGCACGCGTATCGGTGGAAGCCATCCAGCTGCAGGCAGCTGAAAGATATATATAATACATTAAGTTAAGTACAAACTTTGCAATGAATCCCTGTGTGGATAAGAGCAAAACTGAATAAGTAGCAGCTTAGCTGGCAGGACCTTAGCTTCGCCCTAACAGTATTGAGAAGTTGGTAGCCATGTTGACTACAACCTTGATCCACTGACTCAGCAGGTTCCTTGACAAAAGCGACTCACTTTCTGCAAACATTATGGAATGGACAATGTCTGCTGGATAGGCTCCGTGGACATGTAGCAAGTCGGGTATGTTACAATATGTTTCAGGGATTTGACAGAACTTCCTTAGAAAGAATACAGGTACAACTTTTGGAGTAAATCCAAAGTTGAATGGAGAGACTGCCGCGCATAGTCTTGGATCCTGTCACACGCAGGAAGCAGAAAATATCAGAGCACACACATGAAGGAGCACGCCTGTGAGAAGCACATGAGTGCACACAAATGAGAGCACACATTATAAGAGCCAACGGATGAGAGCGCACATGGGAGAGCACACGAATGACAACACGCATGAGCACACACACATATGAAGGCATACACGTGAGAGCATCCGCCAAGCAAGGCACTGCCACGAAATCTCCGGAAAAATGAGCTCACTGGTCTGGGCGCAGAGGTTTGCCACACAAATGTTAATATGTGTGTTCTTATTGTAGCAGTAACAAAAGGCATCGCTACTAGGAGCAAGGACGCTACGAAAGGGGCTCCTGGCCCTACTACTAGGAGCAAGGACGCGACTAGGAGCACAAGCAATCAGTTCATTGCAAGGTGCCCGAGCCCAGAACACTCCGCCGCATTCCCACGAAACCGGATGCGCCCACCGTGTTCCACGCTGCGGGCCCCGGCTGGGTCCGCAGCAGGGGGCATCAGTAAGTGGCAAATTTATGTAAGGTAGATCACGGTAGATCTGAGTTGGGAAGTTTGAGGGATCTTTCTTTATGCATGTGTGTTTCGGGGAGCATTGGTCCTTTCAGTGCTTTTGGACACGCTATGACAAGCTCAACTTGGCGCTCAATTGAACATGAATTGCAGCAATGCACAATTTACTAGTGCTCTACTTGGCGTTCAACCATCTCTAATCATATGTCCGTCAGACATGTTTTGGACGTGCGATTACACAGGTCGTTGAAATTAAAACCTGCAGTGCAATTACAAATTGATGATGATGGCATGAAAAAAGTCCTCCTTTTGATATAGAAGACGATCCTTAGACTGCACGCGCTACACGGCGCCTCAGGCTCAAGGACCTTTTCGCCGTCGGCTTCAGGGCGGCTACCTGGCCCCGACAAGAGCCGTTCTCGGCTCTCGTTGGAGGTGATGGGCAGCACACCTGAAAAGCGCCGAGGGCGGTGAAAGCGCTGAGTGTTCGAAGGAAGTCCTTCAAAGAAGGGATTCAAAGCTCAAAATATGAAGGCCTTCCCAGAAGAAGGGCTTGGGTGGTCCCTTGCTCGTCAAGAAGGAGCTCATGATCATGCCAAGGAAGTCCTTCAAGCACAGGAATTGAGGCAATAACTAGCGGTCTCTCAAACCACAAAGCAGTTTTCCATAGCTTGGTCTTGGAGAAAGAAAGCATAGATTGCTCAAAAAGACTGGCCATCAGCTTGCCAAAAGTCACTGCAAATCTAAACCAAAAAGCATGAAATCTCATGGTCGGTCCAGAATACCTCCTCCACCATGAGCCTCTTTGAACGCTGGGCCTTTCCTCCAGAAGTTGAAGTCTTTCTTGGTCTCCCAAATAGTGAAGGAGATGTAGCCTTGACATGAACCACTTGCAGCAGCAAATCTGTCTGACAGAGTTTGTTGGTGTCGAAATGCTACGTGCTTGGTCAGTCAAAACTCACCAGTCTATAGTATAAATAAGGTTCATCGCACACAAGTCCCAGTGGCTGTAGTCATCAGGGTAAGGCGTAGGATCATCCGTTGGAACCCTTCGCATCAAAGAGAACCATCCTAAGAAACGACGTTCAAGAGTATTCAAAGCCCCAAGGGTCCAAGGTCATTCCTTCCCTCAACTTCCCTGCCACAACTATCACAAAACTGTCCCAAGCAAAAAGCAATGCTTGGGCTTGCTTTTGTCTTGCTTGGGCGTGGGCGAAAACCCGGAAGGGTCAAGAGCGAGGACTTCCGCTGAGCCCAGCGTTGCTCGAAGGCCGCATCGGAACCTTCCCGAACCATAAAGCCTCGGGTCGACGGCCGACGAGCACGCTTGACCGAGGAACTGCGGGAACTCGTCGGCCACTGCGGGTCTCCAGACGGTTGGAAGCGATGTAGCGCTCGCCGGGCAAGAGGTCCACCTTGAAAAAGCCACACTGTGCCCTGCTGGACATGAAGACATGTGTTTTTACCTTTCCTGGGTTTGCCCGTACGAATGCATGCCACAAGGCTGGAGAACTCCGTGAATAAACAGAGACATGAGACATGATATACGAGAATAAAAATATTGAAATGCACAGAGTATGATGAGTATGAGACACGATAGATTGATGCAAAAAGGACTATGCCGCAATACAACTACAGTAAATCCCACCTCCGTGGACAACTCTTGCGTCTCAACTCCTACAGCTGATAGCTTGGTCGGAGGACTAACCTGATGCGAGCACTTCTTCCGAAGAATGAGCGTAGATATTGAAACAAGGAATTACTGTCTAGTCTCAAGGAAGTACTGTCTGTCTGGTCTGTGAGTCAAACCACCCACGTGGTGAGTCACACCACTGAAGACCCAGAAGCCTTGCCCGACCCAGAAGGGCCAAGGACGAAGCATGCGGAGAAGGCACCCACGAGGGCCCTCAGCTTTACGCTGCAGGAGCCCCTAGTAGCGTCCGATCGCTCGGTTCGTAGCGATGCCCTTTGTTCCTAGTAGCGTCCTTGCTCCTAGTAGTAAGGCCAGGAGCCCCTAGTAGCGTCCGATCGCTCCTAGTTAAATGGGAATTGACAAAGATGGCTAAGTAGATGGCAAAGGCAGGCTTCGCAACCTGTGCCGTGGCCAGCTCGGCCCATGTGGCCAGCTTTGGCGACAGGGATTGCAACAATCAACTTCCGTGCACTATAGGAAGGACGACCACCATAAGTGTATGTCTGTGTTTGTGCCACCAAAACCCGGTAGCCTTTGTACAGACGTGAGATACGAACACAGGCTGCGTGCGCGCCTCGAAGCTCTTCCATGGCGCAACATATTTGGGAAGGATACTTCCAGGAGGTCAACCCAGAACGATCCCAGGATACCAAAACCAAGGTCTGGTCTTGCGAGTTGCAAACATGATTGTCCACCCCTCTCACGCAAAGCTCCATGTTCTTGCTCTAGCCTAATTTTGCTACTAAACAACTGCGGGCAAGTGCAAGAAACCTGTCAAACTTTTGCAATGCTTCTAGATTGGAGGCCATCACTAGCAGGTTGGAGGCCATCGCTAGTAGGTTGGAGGCCGGTTGTGATGTTGCAAAAGTATCAAAAGTTTTGCAAATCAGCGCAAACTCTGAAGCTGCTCACCTCAGCTCCCATGATGTCAGGGGCCAGCACAGCGGAAGAGCTGAATGGGCAAATGTAGTGTCCGTGTGGTTTGCCTTTGTAAGATTGTGTACATCAAATCTATATGGATGCCTTTTAACTGGTCTTCCTCTGAATACTCTCGTGAAAGGGTCTTTCTCGTGGGGAAAGGAGGCTGTTCCAGTCACAAAGCTTGAGCCACAACCTTCGGAGCACTGCAGTTTTCCTGTGGACTCGACACTCGAGCTCTGCTGATGACCAAAACATGCGGCATTGTTCGCCGAATTTGATCTGCGCATTACCAGAAATGCAGACTGAAGCGTCTGGTGCTGTTTCTCTCACGCCTTGCCAAGGATCAAGCTTGGTCTCTGACAAACACGCCTTCGGCGGAATCGTCAGTGGAAAGGCGGAAAGCTTGAAATTGGCCTGCAAATTGAACAATGCAAGACTCTCTCGGCCCATCGTCTGGGATGGACAGCACATTGTTGGACACAAGCCAACTTTTGAGGATGTTTTGTTAGTTGACGTCAGCCAAACACATTCGCAGCCCAACCACCAGCCATAAGTGGGCTCTCCCACATGTGTTGAATGCACGAATTTTGTTCAACTGCTCCGGGAAACGTAATTAGATTGGCATCCCAAAAAACATTCAGAAAACGGCAGCACGTCGCATTGAGCGTCGCTTGTGCCCAGATCCCACTGAAATGCGCGAGAACCTGAGGCAAGAAAAGCACGGCAGTGCCGAATTTCCAAAAACAAATTGGTGTTTTCTTCTTTTCTCTTCTTCCATTTCTCTTTCAATTTTTATGTTTTTCCCTTTTCCATCTCCAGTTCCTTTCCTCCTCTTCTTGTTCTTTTCTTTTGCTTGCCCTTAACTCACTCGTCTTCTTGTTTTCCTCTTCCTTATCCTCTCTATCTTCTTTTGCTCTTGCAGCCGACCACTTCTTAAGGACGTCGTACAGTGAGCCATGGGCAAAACAGTGGAAAGAAACGGGGGACTGGGCCGTGGGTGACACCCATGGACCCATAGATAAGCTGTTGATAGAAAATTTGTGACTATAAACCTGTCACTTTCATCTGGATCAAAAAGTGAGGTCACGTGCATTCACCAAGATCGATACGCTAGCTACGTCTTCACCCAGTTTTTGAACATGGTGACGCTCTATCTACTCCAGGATGAATACAGTATATATAGATATGTATACTTGAGAAGGGGGGGACGAAAGCCAGCAGCCGCCGGACGAGTGTCTCTTTTTCTGGCAAGCGTCGCGGCACAAGACACATGGTCGGCAGCTTGCGAGCCAGCGGTGCCGCGGCTGCGGGGGGGCGTGCGTAATGGTGATCGAGGGAGCAGAGAAGCAAGCTGGGCGGCTTTGGGATAAGTTTGGTCTGAAAGAAGTTGGTGTAGGTCATCATCACAAGGCAATGGCATGTTTTTGTCACATGCAGGAAGGTATGCATCATATGGATGTTGGAAGGCGACATCAGCGTTTGCGAGGGGGAACTACTGAGTTCGAGTGGTGGGATACCAAGCGCGCGCGCCGCGCACGCAGGAAGACCTTCTCCATAGTCAGCGTCGCCGCGAACGCGCTCGCGAGCACGGCATGCGTTTGAAAAGAAGCAATTATGTGTTTGTTACATTTGGAGTTTTTGAAGTTTGCAATACTGCGGCACGTCGAAAAAAGCGGCATTCGTTGATTTGGAAGAGTGAACGGGCACGTCTTAGCCGGGACACGGACGTTTGATTCCGCGGCGCAGGGGGGGTCCAGCGGGAGTAAAGGAGTGAGGATTTGTGCGCCTATCGATGCACATGCCTGGACTTGAGTGAGTCATGTTCTGGCTCGATCCAAAGCACAGTCTTTTTCCTTTAAAGGGGCCTTTATTAAACGATCCAAACACTCTGCGCCTTTCTCACTCAGAGGCCTTGACTTTGGCACCTGCGCGCGTAGATCTTTGGGCCGTGGACCCAGGCTGACTGGATTCGGCCAGCGCTGCCAGCAAAAAGGCGACGTCATGAGTCAGTATATCTCTCTATCTCTCTAACTCTATCTCTATCTCTATCTCTATCTCTATCTCTATCTCTATCTCTATGTCTATCTATCTATCTATGTATCTAACTACCTATCTATCTGTCTATCTATCTATCTATCTGCACCGGCAAGCCGGAAAAACGTTCGGTGCGTGTGGACCCCGAGAAGCATCCACTCGACCGAGGGCATGGTGCGGATATGCAGTCAACCTTGCAGGCATCCCCACCAAAACTCAGTCCAAATTCATGGGCTTGATCTCATCCCACTTTCGGTTCTCTGTGGATTTCTCGAGTTACGGGTTGTCCTGGGAACTCGTATCCTGTACGTGGGTCCCTGTCTCCACTCGATTGCTCAGTGCCCAGTGTCCAAATAGCCTCCAAAGCCCTTCATGGTGCTAATGATGCACTACTCACCGTCCATTACATCACTCGCATCACCAGACCCCATTCTCATTGCTTTTCGGACCCTCGCTTTTGGAGCGCTCTCCCCCACCAAGCTCTGGGTTCACCCTCTCAAAATGTCCCTCTCGGCACCCTCCCCCCCCGCCCCCTTACTCACTGCGTTCGCTCTAAAAGCTCAAGCCTAGCCTATCGACTGGCTTTCGTAATATATATGTATGTCTATTCATTTATTTTTGGTTTGTTTGTTTGCGTCTTCCATCTTATTATGTTAGTCACAAATGAACTCACCAAATCTCAGCAAGCGTGCAAGAGACGTTTTCCTTTGTTCGAGAAGTTGGCTGGTTTGTGACATCTTTCGTCACACGAAGTGGTGGTAAGATCTTCAAACAATTTCAAACGTCACGGCGTCATTCCAAACAAACTCATTGGTAGGTTCCCAATTACGCATATATGTAACATATGTATATATAGACTGTATATATACATTCCGAAGATCTCCAGACCCGTGGATAGTGGAAAACCACTTTTGGGTTCCATAGATACCAGGGAATGAACCTTACAAAACGTGACAGCAATTAAAATTAGGATATGATCATGAACACCACTCAGGACGCGGAGTGCAGCAACCAAACTGAGAAGGCTAGTGGAAGCTGAGCACACTCGGAACACAACAACGCCCGCTCCCAGAACTGTTGCTTCCTCAGCCACGTCTGAAAGGACTGCCGTTTTTACTACGAGTGCTTTTGGCATGGGGGCATAGCACCCAATCCAAAGTCATCCGTCAAACACCTGTTTTAGCACGAGCCTACTAACAGCCATCTCGCCCAGTGGGTCTTCCACCCTAGGCTTTAGCCTCAAACTTGTGGAAGGCAGGTTCGCATCTATGGCCACGCGAACGATGAACACTCGAACCTGGAGCCTCAGAACAGTATCCCACAAGACCGAGATAAGAACACACGTCGACTCGACCTTGGTCAAGGCGGCTTCCAGGCCCTCTGAGATCGGTGAAAACGAACAAGTCAGCTCGGAACAAACGACCAGCGAGCGTCAAGAGCCACACATGGGCCAGCATGTCCACAGGAGTGACGTGAGAGGCGAGAGGAGCACTTTTTAGAGACTCAATCACCCGTGAACTGATGAGGCGCCAACAAACAACCAGCGCCCATCATTCAGGCCTGCAATCCGCTTCACGTGCATCTGGTAAAACAATATCTGCGAACAAGACTTTAGCAGCACAAAAATCGATCGCCCTGGGGGGACCACTCTTTACAGGCTTCAACCAGACTGAACTGAACGAGTTGCCCTTCATGGCGAAAAAACATGGCTCGTCTGAAGAAGGAGCCCTCCAACAAAATTAAACGTTCTCTGGTCACGCATAAGGGCCTTAACTCCAGTGAACTTCGCAAAAGTGTCAAGATAGCTCTAACCTCAAACCTTGTTCCTCTGACTACCTCAAGACACTGTGTCACGATCCAATCCTCACAGCCCAAGAACTAGAAGTCACGGCTCGGTCCCAGAGCCGAACCTTCATCAACCTACAGTTTGCGCCAAGTGTCAGAATAGGGCGCACGTTACGCACTTCAAGCAAATTTGCCAGGCCCTTTGACAGACGCGAGCCACTAATCTGGCCGACCACGCCCCACGATCTGGCACGCGTGAAAGAAGACGCTCCGCAGATCGGAGGCATACTGCTCGAATAGCTGTGTCCAACTCAACTTCAACACACCAAGTATGCAGCATGCGCAACATCGCCCAAACGATCGACATCCAGCTCTGTTTCGCAACGGAGCAGCCGGCTGAGGTTTTGGCCTTAAGATCTGCAAAAGCTTGGCAGCGCTCTTTCCACTGCACAGGCGGCCAGCTTGCGGGCTTGAGAAAGCACACTGAAAGGGGGCATGAACTTTGCCATCGCATCGAACGATCGAACGTGTAGGGCGTGAAAAACCTCACGCGAAAACAACAGGCGAGCGACGGACACGCGCGAAAAAAAGCACGAGTGAGCTGCATCGGCGATTTCATCGTGGACGCAGTCAACCGCAAGCTGAACTGTGGATTCTGAATGAAAAATCCACCACTGGCAAAAACAGTGAGACAAGCGTCAGCCGACCAGTGAAGACAAAGGTTGCCCAAGATGCTCAAATGTTCAGGCTGATCAGCCGGTCGAAGTCATTCGCGCGAGCAGAAAGAAGCAGTGTAAAAAGCAAACTAGGCCCTGTGTTCAAGATGCAGCAGGAGGTGGCCCTCCAACTTGATCTTGACGTCCACCGCGATGAGCTGTTCATCGGGCCATCAAACAAAGGCTAAAAAGCCCGGTGGCTGAACATCTCGCCAGTCTGGCTGCTCCACTTCGCACATGGAAACTTTCGCAGCCGCAGGTGATCACTTTGCAGCCTGAAGAGATTGAAACGATAGCCCGCTCGACGGACAACGAACAAGGTGTCTATCGGACTTGACGTTCACGTAGCCAAGGGCGCTGGAGGGAACCTCATCAGCCACTTGTAAAGCGGGCTCTGATCCTGTTGCCCCGACTGTGTGTGCAAGCTTCCGAGAGGCCGGTGGTAGCTCCCAGGCTGTACCCAAAAAAACCTAGCGATGGTGCTTTTTCACCTGGCAGGCGATCACTCTATTTCACCAAAATGGCCGCGATCGATTGACCGTCGTACGAAGGTACGAAGTAACCGAGCATGACTGAACAGTTGCGATTCAAGTGACTAGCAAATCCCAGACCAACTTGCCACCGCAAAGAGAACTCAATATTTAGTTTAGTTATTGGATCCAGGCGGAGAACGCTTTACGGCTTGACTTGTAGAGAGAGGACTGAGAGAACAATATACAACGAAAGTCGCAAGGAGGAAGGTCCCGATGACGAACGACCAGGCAACCAGGCAACGCCAACTTGTGATGCTATTGGACTGGCTCCAAAGAGGCTTAGAAGGGAAGTTGGACAAAGGCAAAGAGATTCAAGATTCGATTCATTGGCTGACCTGCTGAGCTTGGACTACATTGCAAATGCATTTTTGCAAGCGTGCAGCCTTGAATGACCAGAAACAAAACCAAAGCGGAAAGAGCTTCGTCACCGGTCACATCAGATTTGGCCGCCAAGTCAGTTCAACAAGGTCTTGGCTGAAGGAAGGGAATGTCAGCTGACCAAATCCAGTTGAAGTAGGCATACTAAACACGAATCGCAATTGCATAAAATCATAAAAGCCTTAAGAAAATGTGTCGTGAAGACTGACAAAATCAAGTCCATTCAGTATCAGTGCAGGCCATTCTGCACTTTAAGCCCGGAAACTCCTCACGTGTGATGGTCCCACCATTTGCTACGTCCAAAATGGAAAAGAGCTCATCGCCAGCACCAAAAAAGCCAGCCTGCAATCACTGCAATCAAAAAATAACTAAACACTTGCTGGCAGCACCAAAAACATCAAACGAGCCTCTTGTAGACCTTGAGTCCACTCATCCTCAAGAAAATTGCACAACATGGTTGATGTCCTGCCCTTTCTCTGGCATGCAAGATTTCCGGAAAATGCCATAGGCTTTCCATCTATCTACTTATCACTTATCACTGCCTGCGACAAGACCCCGTCGTGGTCCACGTCCCACTTCCTGAAGGCCTCCAGAAGGCCGCGAGTCAGCTGTCCTAAGAATGTCTGGGAACCAAATCATTAAGGCTTGGGCTTCTTCAAGGAAGCTCCCCCGCCCCCAGGAGCATCCTGAGCCCTTCCGCTAGTGGCTTACCTACTCTACCTCCTCTTACCCCTACGGCCTACCCCCCAGCGGCTAAAATTACTACCCATGGCTTGCTTCACCCCCAAGAACGCTCCGAAGGTGCTCTTTGTTTTGCATGGTCTGGGAGTACCCAACACCCCGAAGGAAGGAGGCCACTTTGTCCGGCCTTCTCCAAGCCGCCGAAGTTCCACAGAATGAAGCTGCACAACTCTTGCATCTGAAGCAGGGAATGGGTTTTGTAGGCCCAGCTTTGAGCTTTTCAGAATAGATGGAGATACTCTACTGTATACAGGATCATCCAAGCTCCGACACACTTTGATGCGAGGACTCAGAAGTCATGTCATGCAACGAAAAGCCCAAAACGGTAACAGATTGGAAACTTGGAACCACCCCCCGTTTTCGCCTGTCTGTCCAGTTCCCGCTTGACCGAATCCAAGAAGGTCCATTCCTGCACAGGGGGCCATTGGATGTCGAAAATTTGATCTTTGAGCTGTTGAATTGAAACCGCAATCATGGTCGAGTCATGACTAGTCAAAAAGGGGTGCAGCTTTGTAAAGAGGAAACGTCCCACACCTCCCGAGAGATGTTGCCAGTCTGGGTGGCATCCAAGTTTCGAAAAATTGCGCGAAAGCCTGAAAGCTTCACTACCAACACATTGCGGTTTCTTCTCTCAAAGTTCTCAACCAAGTTACGCTCCCGGCAATTCTTCCTGAATCGAGCATCTTCCAACCTAGCACTCTTTGGACAAGTGCCAGACAGACCTTGGAAACACTGTAGTGCATTTCAGTCCCATAAACTGGCCTTTCACCATAGTCCTCAAACTCATTCAGGGAAATCCCACCTGCATGGGACCACTATAATCAAAAAAAGTATCTTTCTTGTTACTAGTAGAAAGGCCAGGAGATCCTAGTAACGTCCTTGCTCCTAGTAGCGATGCCCTTTGCTGCTAGTAGCTTCCTCTTGTCAAATAGATCCAAACAGGTGGGATTTTCGATTGCTAATACAGCGGGCTGTGCCCTTTCCAGTTCCATCACCATCAATATCTGCATAAGCCTGACGAGGCCAGTGGCACCAAAACTGAGTGCACACAATGTTCACCCAAATCCCTAGCCCACCTGGCTCAAGTCGCCAAGATATCTTTCATCCAGCACCTGAAGCAGCCACAGAAATTATGGGTTCCAGAAAAGCTTGTACTTGATTCTAACATGGCTAGAACAAAACCAAATGGAAGTGGACGCTGACAAATGGGAAGGAGAGGTGGAGAGCGGGGAAGTTGTGAGGACATGTGAGGACATTGTGAAAACATGGCGGCCACCCAGCCTCAATGAATCGAATCATGTCCAGGTTAACATCAGAAAGGACTGACCACCAGTCAACGTCCTGGCCGCACCACCACTCACAAGCATGCCTTGCTCTCAGAGAACCATAGTAACTGAGAAATCTGATCAAATGCTTTGAGCAAGCTTTAATTTGGCCTCCGACTCCAAGGCAGGAATTTTCCATCGCCTTTCGTGCAGAATCATTGTAGGTCTGCCAGTTCAACACTGACCCCGAGGCTTTCACCCAATGGTCGTCAAGTAGTCCACGCGTGTCTTCAAGTTGCGCTTCTGCCAAGGCAAGCACATGTTCGATTGGGGAGATTCACAAATCAACAGTTCCAGTCTGCCTCGGGGGACACACAATACTTGGCTCGGAAGTTGCCAGCCTACCCGGGCAGATCTGTTATCTCACTGTTGACCAGGAACCGAACGTTCCCTGCCTTGGGGCAATCCGAATATCTCGCCCAGGCCCTGGGAACACCTTGCGCAGTGGTGGGATCAGAACGATGCCACTATGCTGGCTACCACGTGGGCACATTGCCTGTGACAAGTTCATCCTCCGTACCATCCTGCTCAGTGTCATGCAAGCGCAAGAAAAGAATGAATCCTTTTTGCAAACAGTGGGCCTCCCGGATGTACCTGGGCTCTGCCAGCAGAGCCACCTCCTTTTGAAAAAGGTTCACGAGAATGGTGACCGCCAACTTCTGGTCATGTACAGAGAAATCCAGCTCCAAGAAAGCCTCATGCTTACGAGATGTTCCAATTGACGTTTGGGGAGACATAACAATGTTTCCCAGAAGACATTTTAGCAGATTGTAGATGAAAGGTTGCAAAGCTCACTTGAACCATTGCCAATCCTGCCTGTTCTGGCTGGATAAAAGGGAAGAACTTCGTCGGTCCAAGCCTGTCCCTCAGCAGCATTTCTCCACATGTCAAGTTGGACAGGCAAACTGTTCATGCTAAGGCAATGGCATCAAAACAGTGAAATCATTGCCTTTGTCGCGCGAACTGCGCAAGGTGGAAGCACATGACAGTCGTTTGCTTACCGTAATAGCAAACGTCGAGAGAATCATGATGGATCATGCAATTGATTGGCAAGAAGCCTGCACAAAACGCTGAGTTTCTTGAATCTGCGGATTCGACAAAATATGTGAATATATAGCAGGACCAACAGCACGTTTTGCTCTGGTGCTGGTCCTAGTGCTTTCAATTGACTCAGCTGAACACCAGAGAAGCGAGCTCTAGGAACCTTTACATTCCAAATATCCACCAACCTGCCACAAACGGTGTACATCAAAGGACAGTCAGTGTGCAACATCAGGCCTAAAGGGCCCCTGCAGGGCACTTCATGAGCTCGTTACTACAATATCTATCAACCCAATCCGCTTGTGCAAAACCAAACTCTTTTGCAAAGCTCAGCAGTATCTAAAACATGCCAGCCATCACCGGTAGTACATTACATGGAAAAGCTGGATTCTAGCCTGGCTGCAATTTGGCTGTGACGGTAAAGTCCCAACTGCGCGTTCAAGCCCAAACATGCACGTGCAAACCTCACGGTCAGAAAGTGCTCCAAGCAGCCTGCTTTACTGCAGAATCTTGCTTACTGCATGCTATCAGCAGATCCTGGCATTAGCATACTGGGAGCAAGAACCTACTAGTAACATCTAGTAACAAAGGGCATCGCTACTAGGAGCAAGAAGCTACTAGTAGCAAAACATATGTCACATGTCGTTGCTGAACGCGCAGCTTCCGACCAAGTGGCTCTCGCAGCTGAGACGACGAAAGGTAAATGTAAGGAGCCACGGTTCGAAGAGCTTGAAGCCTCAGAAACTCGAGGGATATTTAATTTTACGGATGTACTAGTAGCAAGAAGCTAGTATAGGTTGGAGGCCATCGCTACAAGAAGCAGGAAGCTAGTAGGTTGGA